TGTTTTTTATCATAAATTAATTTTAGTCAGAACACCCCAATATCTTTATCAAAAAAATAACCTACCGGACTGACGTTCATAACATTAACGTAAGAAGTAAGGGTCTTATTTCGCCACCCAAGTTTAGAACGTCCATCTTCAAACGGAGCTTCACATACCAAATATATAAAGTCTACAACTCAGTCCGGAAGGAACTAAAATTTTCTAGAATAGATAACTTCAAAGCCATGTTTAAAAAGGAACTGCTGCAAAAACAGTAGCACCGCACGAACGAATGAATGATTGTTTTTTTTTTGTTAGCGTGTAGGTATGTCCCTCTTTTATAGTGAGTGACATGTATGTATTATCGGTTTATCGGATGTCATATGTCGTAGAGGATACTGGGCTAAGTGGAAGAGCAGGTTGTTGGTACTGTGTACTAATCAAACTGAACTTCGCCTTTTATTGACACTGGATGTACTTATGTTCACTTACCATTTTGTCAATGTCTTATGTCAATAATAAAGACGGTTATTATTATTATTATTAAAAGAGATTGTTCCAACATTTTTGAATAGTTTGCTGGTTAAGTTCATTCCAGGCCATATGTAAATCTAAAACAGCTTCTCGTAATGTTACTTTTTTTAAAGCCTCAGATAAGTTTTCAGGATTCTTTGATAAGACAGACGAAAGTAGAAACTTCCTATAGTATAGTTTGGTGAGTCTTATATTCTGGTCCATCGGTTTTTTTTTTTTTTTTTGTCGATCGGTTTGGCATTGGAAGTTATCCATTTGCCACAGATGTGTGTTACTATTGATCTAAAGTTTAATTGTGAGCTAAACGTTCATTTTGATTCTTTGGAAGAAGTTTACCAAGCAATCTAGGATTTGCTTGTCACCTATGCTTAAAAGGGAGCTTATATTGGTGGGGAGTTGATATTTGGATTTCAGTATATCAATAAGAACTATGCGTTCTTGATTGTATTTTCCGCAAGCAAAAATAATATGATTTAGATCTGCAATCGATGCACTATCGCAATCGCATACACAAGTATCCAGAATGCCTATTCTATTGAGATGAGCAGGAAATCTTCCATGGTTTAGCTTCAAACGAGTGATGGTGACTGAATAATGTCTATTTACATTATACTCAAAAATATGTGGTATTTTTTTAGGCAATGTAGGATGGATGAATGAATAATGGTTATTAGATAATTCAGCAAAATGATTCCAGTGCACTTCCCATTTTTTTCTTATTTCCTTCTTTCCAGCGTTGACTACATCATAGTATTCGAGTTTGTTATTGGTAAAATTTGTTAGATTGGTTGCCTGCTTTGCTAAGATGTCCACAGCCATGTTTCCGGTTATCCCAGCATGACCCTTTACCCATACAAAATGAATTATCTGACCTCTTGTGTTTAAGTCGTAGAGGAACTTTTTGATTTTACAGATGCTGATTGATTTTGAAAAGCTACGAAATGATAAATTGCTCACTGCCCTTAGAGCTGAGGACGAGTCAGACATTATTAAAGCATTATGCTGTTGCGGTTGTTCCATCAACCATTGCAACGCAGCTTCTATAGCGTAAACCTCTGCAGTGAATACGGAGCATAAATCGTTCAGTCTATACTGTAGATTTACATTGTTCTGGATATGAACTGCACATCCTGTTCCGTTTTTCGTTTTTGAACCATCAGTGTATATTTTTAGACAGCTGCCATATTGATCTAAAATTGAAAGAAGTGAGGCTCGATTAGATGAGGGGTTGTCGGAGTAGGCAGGAAAGAGCACAGTTGGTTTGAACACCATTGCTTGAAAATTTTGTTCGAAAATAGGTTCTCTATTGTGAGAAGTTATTTTACTTATCATTTCATTAAATGCGGAGTATGCCTCAACAAATGGGGGGTCATTCTTTTTTGACCAAAATTTATTAGTTAAATTTTCTATGAATAAAATAAAGATGTTTTTATTTAAAAAATGGTTGGAATGAAAATATTTTAACGAAATTATTTTCTTATAAGATAGATGCAGTCTTCTCAGTCTCAGGGGCGGTTCCTGTGCTTCTGCCAAAATTGCATCTGTGGGAGATGATTTCATAGCACCTATACATATTCTCACGGCACAATATTGTATCCTATCAATTTTTTTCAAATGTGAGTTTGCTGCTGAACTATATAACACAGAACCATAGTCAATGATTGAGCGTATATATGCCTTGTAGAATAGGAGCGAAGTTTGTGCATCTGCGCCCCACTTGGTTTTAGTGGTACACTTCAATACGTTAATTCCCCGTTCGCACTTTCTTTGGGTGTGGCTGATATGTTCGTTCCATAGAAGTCTGTTATCTAGGACTACACCTAGATATTTGTATGACTTCTTTATCGGTATATCAGTTCCACATAACATTATATTTGGAGGGGTTTGCAGTCTATGTCTTGTAAAAAACATGACTGCGGATTTTTCTGGGGATATTGTCATAGAGTGATCACTAAACCACATTTTAAGGCAATAGAGGATGTGTTTAAGCTCTTTGATGCATTGGCTATAGTTGTTTTGTATCGTATAGAAGCAGAAGTCGTCAACATATTGGATGCACTTTATATCTGGATTAAAAATATTGTGCACGTCATAGGTATAAGTGTTGAATAGGATAGGACTAAGAACCGCCCCTTGAGGAAGACCATTATTAATTTCCCGTGGGCCATGCAACATATTATTCGGGTCTCTAATGAATATTTTCCGATTCCTGAACAACTCCACAATGTTTTGGGCAATCAATGGATTAATATTAAGAGATACAATTTTTTCAACAAGTATGTTCAAATCAACTGTTTCATAAGCACTTTTTATGTCAATGAAAAGACATGCGACATATGCATTTTTCGAGAACGCACACTGTACGTCTGTGACTAATTGTGCTACTGCTTCAAGTGTTCCGACTCCTCGTCTCGCTCCATATTGTGTGATGGGCAGTTTATTATTATATTCAAGATACCATTCTAATCTGGCCTTGACCATTCTTTCGTATGATTTTATAATACATGACATTAATGAGATGGGTCTGTATGATGAGGGAAAATTTGGGTCTTTATGAGGTTTTAAAATTAAGGTAATTATAATTTCTTTGAGTTCGTTAGGAATACCACCACAATGCCACCATTTATTATATATATTTAACAAATATATTTTAGCGTTCAGAGGTAGGTTCTCTAGCATGTTATAAGTGACACTATCTATTCCTGGAGCTGTATTTTTATGTTTTTGTAGGGCTGCTTCAAATTCTGCTAATGAAAAGTCATTAACAGGAAAATTACTCATTAAGTTGGTGTTGCCTGCTGGAGGTGTAAAGTTCATTACTGTAGCAGGTGCAAAAAAGTTCAGTAAGCTATCTATCATTTCCTCAGTAAAATTATAACTTGAGTTGCAGTATTTTTTGTTGTTCATTTTTCTAACAAAATTCCAAATTTTTGTTATAGGTGTATTTTTATTTAGGGTATTTAAAAAAATTTTCCAGCTATCTCTGCATTTTTTTGGTAAAGAGTAACTTGGTTTGGGATTCGGCTTGTTTGTACTTTAAAAAATTTTCCCAATTTGACTGATTTTTGTACTGATAAAGAGCCGACTTTCTCTTAGCAACCATCTGAGAACAATCTGTATCCCACCATAAAGGTTTAGGAGTATTTATAATCAAGGGTTGGTTAACTTTTATCGAAGAATTGGCAGCGTTATTAAGGATAGTGATAAAATGTTTTATATTAATTTCTTCAACATTAGATTGGATATCAAAATCATTTTGTATTATCTGTGAAAACAGAGGCCAGTCAGCGCATTTGGTGTTCCATTTGGTGGAAGGTTGAAGGCGCTGCGGCACGTAATCACAGTTAAACGATATAAAAATTGGGAAGTGATCTGAACCCATACTGTCGCTAATCGTATTCCATCGTACTTTACCTACCAAATGGGGAGTTGTTAAGGAAAGGTCAACGGCTGATCTATTTTCGGAGGGTCTGCTTACTCTCGTGGGACAACCATCATTTAAAACTATTAAATTGTAAGTGTTGAGTGCTTGTATTAATTGCTTACCATTGTTTTGATCTTGTGCTGATCCCCATAAGGAGTGATGGCAATTAAAATCTCCGCAAAAGAGCGTACTGTTTGGAAACTGAGAGAAAATATTTTCCCAGTCATTTACGGAGACATTTTTGTTGGGTGGCTTATATAAGGAAACTATAGTTATGTTAATTTGTTCGACAAAAATAGCACATATTTCAATAGAGCAGTTGAAAGGTGGAGTAATATTGATAGGTCTAAAACGTAAACTTTTTGCAGTAAGGATAGCTACACCTCCTTTACCGTCCTGTCTATTTTTTTGTATGCAATTGAAACCTTTTAAATTGATAGCAGCGTTAGGCTTGATCCATGTTTCAGAAAGTACAGCAATATCGATTTTTTCTTTGGAAATAATATTAATAAGATCAGCTTTTCTTTTATTTAAGGAGAGGATATTCCATTGCAATATACATATATTCAATTTCTTAGTAGGTTGAGTCATTATCATTTTCATTGTCACTAATAATCATTACATCTGATGAATTTTCATTTTCAAAGATCGATTAAATTTGTTCTCTGATTTTTTGTTCTAAGGGTAAATTAGGTTCAGTGTCATACGTATTGAAAATGGATTTTACAAGGCTGGATATTTCATTTATAATTTTTTCTTTATAATCAATGAAATCTTGTCGATGTGGATTAGGGATGAGTGATGAGTTATTTTTTGGTTTGGGTGGTAACCGTATATATATATAGATATTAGATCTAATAAAGTGAGATGTGGATTAGCAAAATTACTTATCTGTTTAAGTCACTCTGTTCACTGGGGATCGATTTCGCGCACGAACCGTACACGTTAACGTACGTACCGTGATTGCTTTTTTTTTTTTTTTAGTAGTAATAACAACGTCCTTTTTCCATAAATATAAACAGTTTCACAAAATATACATAAATTTGATTGCAATACAATTTTACCTATATCTAAAAATAAGCTTTTCTATCAACCACAGAACAGACATGCATGTACAGAAATACAATAATATGTCTTTAGTACTCATAAAAGGGTTTAGATAGTCTAAAAGTCCTTTAGTTTTTTCATCAATAGTGTGTTCTATGTGCTCCTGAAATTTTGTTCTTTGATGGACCAAAAAATCCCACTCTGTGTCCTCAGATGATGATGTCTTTGGGGGAAGATAATCTAATTCTTCAATATCTAGATCATGTTTGTCTTTGATTATTGAGATGTTTTTTATGTTGCTCTCTTCCAATGAAAAGCAATTTTCTGTGGAATTTTCGGTTGTTATCACCTGACCATTCTTGTACATGAGATTTCCCATACAATTGGTGTGGAGAGGGAAAGAGGCCTTTTCAGTGCATGGGCATACTTGAAAAACTTCCTCGTTCAACCATGTTGTTTTGTATGATCCACCTAATATTGATGAGAGGAGATAAGGATTTGTTTTAGACAGCGAATTTATCATTTTTGTCAAGATGTCCATCATTTCATTTATTAGATTTCTATTTTCTATTACATTATATATCCCCTGCATCTGTGTCGTTTGGAGTCCATTTAGTGCTTCTGAGAGAGAGGATATTGATGCTGCTCTTTCTTGGATGTCAGTAGATATTTTGTAGCCATAGATGCTGTTTGCTTCATTTCTTGATATGTATGATATTGCTCCATTAACTATCGTTTTTATTTTACCCAGAACAGTGATGTAGAGATTTCTGTAAGTGCCACTTAGTGATTCTGAGTTGATATTTGTTGTTAGCTCTTTTCCATTTAATTTGAAAACACAGAATATTTTTCTTGATGCAGAACTGTAACATCTTGCTTTGGCAACAATTTCTGCAGGTCTTTCTCTGACATACAATGGTGAAAAATACCGAACTCCATTGTTAAATTCTGCCCCTACTTGGTAAAATTTGTCATCAAAAGTGATGGTATGCCTGTCAAACGCTTCAGTTTTTCTTGTAGGTTTCCCATCTTGGATTATTATTATGGGCTTGGTTTTAATCTTTTTGTTGTTACACCTCCATCTTGATGTACATGTGTGCCTAGCGAAATATCCATTTGTATATCGAGTAGTTTTGTACTCAGTAGGTCCTATTTCTATTGTTCTTCTGTCATCCAGACAACATGCTGCATCGGAACCATGACATTCATCCACCCCACACTCACATCCTGTATGGCATTTTCCTTCTTTTGAACTGGTACGGGCTTCTTCTATCGAGAATGGGACATTTTTGTCATTTACACTGCATCCTGTGTTAGGGTCTAACATAGTTCCCTGGTAGCAGTATGCTGTGAATCTTTGCCTGCTGGTGTATATGATCTCTTCTTCTTCTTTGTATTGGAGAATGTTTATCTGGGTCTCTTCTATTGTAATATCATTTGGTATTGGTGCTGGGGTGACTATTCTTGCTTCTTTTTGGCATTTTGTCATGTCGCATCTCTCATGCAATGTGTTTTTGCTATTAATTAGTGTTATATGTACAAGGAAAAGGATTATTTTGCATTGGAGAGACTTCATTTTTGATTTTGCTATGTCAAGTTTTAATGATGAAAGGACGTGTTCCTACTGAAACTGAAACTATATTCTGGTCCATCGGTTGAATTAACGGTGTTACGTTGATTTGAATTGACCCATCCCTGCTCCTCAGTTGTTGCTCGGGAGGATGACTTGGTGCATTATCCAATAGTAACAACGCTTTTATTGGAAGCTTCTGTTGTTTTAGGAAACCTTTTACCTACAAATTGAAAACACATCTTCAAATTATGAATAGAGCATTTGTGATAATTGATTGTCATACCTGAGGGACAAAGCACCTGTGGAACCATTTCAGGAATATACTGCTAGTCATCCAAGCGGTTTTTGATCAGTCATAATCAACAGGGATATTAACATTTTTAAATGAGCGCGGATTTTTTGCTTTCCCAATTACCAGTGGCTTTATTTTGTGTGAACCATTAGCATTAGTGCAGGCTAGAAACGTTATTCGTTGTTTCTCCGGCTTTCTTCCCGAGGCAGATTTTTCAAATGATGCAGCATAGGTTTTCTCTGGTAACATTTTCCAATAAAGGCCGCTTTCGTCTGCGTTGTAAATTTGTTCCATTCTTAAATCTAGCTCGGTAATTGTTTTCATCAATTTTTCTTTGAATGGTTGCACTAATTGTGGTTGTGCTGATCATTTTTCACCAGATATAGACAGCAGTCGAATTCCATATCTTGTTTCGAATCGTTGTAGGCAGCCATCACCAGCTACGAAATTTTCAGTTTCTTTCAGTTTTTCATTTAACAGTCTCGCTGTCTGTTTAAGTACTTCGCCACTAACTGGGACATGATTTTTCCGTTGTTTTAAAAACCACTTAAACAGGGAATTTTCCATTTTAATTTTACAGATTGTTGCTTTCTTTACTCCATATTTTTTTGCTAACTGTGTCACTCCCGCACCTAGTGCAACTTCGTCTATGATTTTCACTTTCTCACTCAACTTTAAACACTTTCTTTTATAGGATGTGGATGCCATAGTCGTAAAATATATTAACGCGTGCAATGTATTCACTTAAGTTCAAAAATGAAATACATACGTACGTATAAATGTATCTTAAACGATCATACGACTGTCCGAGTTTGTTGTATTTTATCGCAGAGTTGAATCTCCTACAGTCTACATCATAAATCGGGGACTCCCCGACGCCCGACATAAATCATCGAGGCTTCAGCATTTTACCGTCGCGCTGTTTCCGTGCGCCGAGCGTTGTTTACGTTATCGAGCGTACAAATTGTTTACGTTATCGCGCGTTCCGTTTGATCCTATGGAACGAAGTTTGTGTGTACATTAGCGCAAGTTTTCGTTATCCCGTGTTTACGCTATCGAGCGTCTGCTGTAGTTCGATTTTTTTTAAAAAAATCTTCGTTCATCTCAAAAGCTTCAGTTTACTAGAAAAAGTCGCATACAAATTTTTCGTACAAAATAATTAGGAAATATCTAATAATAATAATAATAATAATAATATTTATTCACTCAATGTACAAAGATAACAAACAATATGAGAAAATAAATATAAAATCAAAACAGGCCCAATAGAAGGCATCGCCTGTACATGGACCAATAAATTTAAGTTGAAACTGTAGAATGCAAATGACAAAAAAGGACAAAAATTAGCTACAGTAGATTATGTATTTAGTTGATGTTCGTATTTATGAGTTTATGAATTTCAGTCCTAGATATAGAATGTAGCCACTTTTTTAAATTTCTTTTGAAACAATTTCCGAAACGTAAATCTTTCAAGTCTTTAGGTATAATTTCATAAAATTTAGGCGCTAAATAGAGATATGATCGCTGCATTATAGATTTATGCGGTTGAGGAACTACTGTGCCACGAATTTTGTACCTGGTATAATGATTATGTTTAATTTTTTGGTCGGTGTTTACAAATTTATGGTAGTGAGTGATACTGTGTAAGAAATAAAGCTGTCTTATATCATACATTCGAACATCTGCGTATAATTTTTCAGTGGGATAAAGTTTCGGTTTTTTAAATATCATTTTTAGAATACTTTTTTGAAAAACATCTAAATTATAGATATGTGAGGAACATGCAGCTCCCCATGCTAATATACCATATGTGAGATGAGGCTCAATCAGTGCATGGTATAATGTTCGAAGATATTTTTCTGTCAATATATTCCCAAGGTATTCAATTTTGTAGGATACAAATCTAACTTTCTTTAAAATATAATTGACATGGATGTCCCATCGTAAGTGAGGATCCAAGACCACTCCAAGGTATTTTATGTTGGGCACTCTATTAATTTGCATTTTTTGATCATTTATATTGAAGGAGAAATTTGTGTAATTTGGCAGATGTCTAGCATAAGATCCAAATGGTAAAAAATGTGTTTTAGAGTAGTTAATGCTTAATTTTCTACTGTTAAACCACCGAATAATTTTGATAAAATCATTTTCAATTACATTTTTCAGATCAGACCAGTCAGTGCCTTCATATAATATTGCAGTATCATCTGCAAAACTAGTTATTTTGCCAACACAATTAATTTGGAAAATATCATTTAAATATATATTGAATAACAGCGGACCTAAGACAGTTCCTTGTGGGACACCACACTTAATATACATTTCTTTACTAAATGATCCTGATATCTGCACAGATTGTGGGCGATTTGACAAATAACTTTCGATCAGTGAGTACGCGTTTCCTCTGAAACCAATTCTCTCCAATGCTTCTAATAATAATTTGTGATTAACTGTGTCGAAAGCTTTCTTTAAATCAACAAAAATGCAGATTGAAGGGATTCTGTTATCAATATTTTGATGTATTTGATTTACAATTTTAGTTATTGCGTCCGATGTAGCCTTCCCTTCTGTAAATCCATATTGATTTTCACTTAAAATTTTGAATTTTGTGAGGTATCGAATCATTCTAGTAGATAAAACTTTTTCAAAAACCTTTGCTACACTGGATATTATTGATATTGGTCTATAGTTGTTAACATCTGTTTTTGTTCCTGATTTATGTATCGGTATTATATTACCTTTTTTTAAAATTGAGGGATATATGCCAGATTCAAAGCATTTGTTGATTAGGTAAGTGAGTGGTTCTGTTATGTCCTCGGCTATAATTTTCAAATGCTCGCTTTTAATACCATCGAACCCAGGACTTTTCCGATTTTTTAAGGACATAACAGTGGTGTATACTTCACATTGCTCGACATTTCATTACCTTTCAAATGAGGTATAAAAATCACATAACGATTAAGGATTGGCAAAAATATGACCATTATAAGAGGATGAAGGAAAAAGCGATAAAAATACTACACTTACAAAATCATACCTTAATACAGGATAATTTGTTTGAAACCACATTTTTTCATATTTATAATACATTTTCAATATGGTGCACACTCTACCGATCCATCGATTCGGAAACTGAGAGAGAGTAGAGGCGGACCAATCCCATGGCCAGCACGCGATCCCGATCTCACACCTATTTACTTTTTTGTGTGGGGTCGCATGCAAACTTTACTATACTCTGATCAAAATCCTGCACCCACAATAGAAGACCTCAGAAAAAAAATAAAAAATAAATATTGAAAATGTATTATAAAAATGAAAAAATGTAGTTTCAAACAAATTATCCTGTATTAAGGTATGATTTTGTAAGTGTATTTTTATTGCTTTTTCCTTCCTCCTTCGATTTGTGATTTTTATACCCCATTCGAAAGGTAATGAAACGTAGATGTTTCCTAATTATTTTGTAGCTTTTGAGATGAACGAAGATTTTTTTAATAAAAATCGAACTATTTTGAAGCTTACTGCATGAGATAATAATAATAATAATAATAGACGTCTTTATTTATCCACAATTACATTGTAGTATAGCCAAATGTCAGACTTGCATACTTTCTAAACGCAAATGCACCAAAAAATTATTAATCTGAATTAAAGATGGAATAAAAAAGAAATGAATGATTACGTAAATTATATGTTTGGAGGGTTGAGTAATAATGTTTTAACTTTTTGTCGAAAGACAGGTAATGAAAATTCTTTATATACTTTAGGATGGTCATTATAAATAATAACAACATTGTAAGAAAAACTGCGTTTAAAAAGTGTAGACGTACGCAGGGGTATTCTAATATTATTTTCTCTGAGAGTTCTACAGTGAACATCATTATTAAATGAAATTTTTTCCTTCAATTTTCCAGCAATTTGTGAACAAAAACTGAATAGTGATACTTGACCATGTCATTAATTTTTAACCAGTTTAGAACGGGATATGTATTTCGCCGATACATGATCAAATTTACGTAAACCAAAAATGAATCGTATACAATTGTTTTGAATAACTTGAATAACGTTTTTAGTGAAATTGTCTAAACAAGTATAGTATACGATATTACAATAATTTAGTATAGATATGACCAATGCTTCACATAGTTTTTTACGCATCTTAAAATTTAGTAAATACCTGTTTGCTATAAGAGTCCGCAGCCGTAGGTAGGTTTTCTGAGATAGACTTTTAACATGTTCAATAAACCTTAATTTTGCATCAAAAACAACACCAAGAATTTTTGCAGAATCAGGAAATTGCAAAATTTGGTTATTTATCTGAATGTTCAAGAGCTGTGTTACATTGTATGTTTTTCTTTGTGCGCAAAATAATAACATTTTAGATTTTTGTGGATTAATAAGTAGATTGTGATCTGAAGAGTATTTAATTAATTTATTAACATCGTTTTGTAAAATTTGAGTAGTGTCATTGACATTATCTGGGTTAAAATAATGGAGCAATTGCGTAAAAAACACACTGGGTTCTTTGATGAAGGTAACTGTCGAAAAATGAAAGGGATACACTGGTCAAGACCTATGTAATTTAATTTAGCAAGTAATAATTTATGATTGATGCTGTCAAAGGCTT